AAAATGGTATTTTATGAAAAACGGCTCTATCAATTGAACTGAATTTTGGCACAGACTGAGTCCTTAGTAATATTTGTAATTTGACGAAACTTCAGCGTTTTTGGAATAACTTTTGCTATTTTTCTTTAATTTTCCAGAAGAGTGAGCAAAGTTGACCATCCACATATGCACATATACACATGATGCAGAAATTTTGTATTTTACGCGGATCATTCCAGATCATTTGCAAGCATAATTAGAAAACCCAAAATCGGAGGATTACAAAAGGATTACTCCATTCACCAGTGAAAAGAAAAAATACTAGATTCTCTCCTCTCATACACCTGAGAGGCAATAAGAGGAGAAAAAAATCATATTATTCGTATTCATATAGCACAAAATGTTTAGCCTTTTTTATGCATACATGCGCTCCCATTTATTTAAAGGCTTACTTTATCTTCTGTTTTAAGACTAACAAATCACAATTATCAATTACAATAAATTTATATGTATAAAGACATTGAATACTGCTAAACAACCTGAACAGAGGTCACATGGGTAGCCATTGGTTAAACTACAGATTACACCTTATATCACATTTTTGTAAGTCCGGTTTGTATTCATGTATGTGTTATTTATTTCTGCGTTATTATTATTGCTATTACTTATTTTATTATAATCATAAAAAACAAATTGCTAGGAATTTCGATTTTGTGGTATTCTTTGTTACACTGCATCATAAGAAGATAATATAGTCATTCATTAGTTTGATTTGATGTTTTTAATAGGAATTTGCATTTGCATTACATGATTAAGTCCAAAAAATCGTCAATTTCGCATTGGATCAAGGCTTTTTTTCCGGACTATATTTCTCACCGAGATTAGGCATGTCATATGTCGTTTGCCCACGATCTAAGCTTTCGAATCCGTTATGAGAAAGGCCAATGCAACGTTTCCTGTTACTGATATAATCGAATATCTACGAAGGGTCTTTGAGGGTGTAAGGATGTGCAAGAGTCTACAAGAGTGTGTAAAGGTTTATAAGAATCTATCTATACGCGTCTGCATTCAATTGTTAGTCCATATTTATGGTTTTTTTTCTCAGAATTCTTGGCGTCATTAGCACCAGAAAATCATGAAAATCCACTGCATGAGTCATTGCATTTGAACGCTGAGATCCTGTTTTGACGATAGATTTATTCGAATTCAATCGATTTATCACTTCTATTTAGTGAATTAGGAACTTATGAATATTAACTTTTGTAATCTGTGCAATGATTAAGTCAAAAAGTACCGTTCGTGAATATAAACCGAAGAAATTCTAGCATTCTAGCATTTAGCACTCCGATTCTAGTGCTTGGCACAGTAATATTTCTTGTAAGTGTATCGAGATTTTGCGCAGTTACTTCGTGCAAGTTATTTATTTAGTTAAGACATTCTTCATAGACCGCACGATGCGAACTGATCCTCTTCGAGTTCCCCCCCACTACTTAGTGGAAATTTTGTACTTCGTTCCCAGCATAAATTAGCGATTAGATACGGTTCGGGGTCGGTAAAACGTAATGCTCGTGATTTTTTAATCGACTTTATCAGCGAATATCATCCTCACACCGCTGGTGAGTTCTTTCAAAATTTTACTGGTTGTCAGTCGAGTGTTGCAACAGGACGCGATATGTTTTTTTTGGCAAGACAGGTCGGTCGATGTTGTTTTACTCAACGTTCTGCAGCGGCGAAAGTAAAATTGAGAATTCATGCGCGGAGTTGTCACAATGGAGCAGGTGAGTAACACAAAAAAGGAATATAAAACTTCCTACGACTATTACTGAAAAATTAATGATTTCCTACTATTTTCTATCGATTTTTTAAAATATGTTGATTTTTGACAGTCCATTATCTTGCGTAAGTGCGTAAAGAACGACTTTTTTGCACGCAAGTGTAACGCACCCTATTCTTATAATACTTGCCGAGGTCACTCTTTACAACCGTAGTAAGAGTGATGTAAAGCTTCGCTTTGCGCATGGCCTCTGAGCTGTTCCCATACCGTGTGGAAAAGAACCGTTTTACGCACACTGTACAGTTCCGAAAAATAAATTTCCCGACTTTGACGTACCTCTAAATGGCTCTTCAATATTGTTCTCCAGCTGTTGAAACAGTCGACAAATCGGTGCCCGATGGTTTGTCCTACAAGTTCATGCCCGGAACAATTCCTCTTGTTGACATGACAGTTGGTCAGCTGATAGAAAATGCAGCGAAACA